TCTTCCTTCCTTCCTTCCTTCCTTCCTTCCTTCCTTCCTTCCTTCCTTCTTTCTTTCCCTCTGTTTCTGTTTCTCTCTCTCTCTCTCTCTCTCTCTCTCTCTCTCTCTCTCTCTCTCTTTTGAACTGGCACACTGGAGGGTTTCTTTACTTTCTGTTTCTTCACTCATGCCCATGGGCTCTGGGGAGGGGAATGGGAATGGGAACTCTGGCTGTCTTTTTCTTTAGTGCACTTTGACTTGGACCCAGCTCAGTCATCCCCCGCTGTGTGGTCACTCTGTCTCAGATGACTGGGGGATGGCCAGGCATCACGATGGCCAGAGCAGAAATGCTGGCTTCCTGTACATGGGACACAGGGGTGCCCAGCCGTGGCTCGGGTTTTGGAAGGGCTGGCTTCTCCAGACCTTGCTTCAGAAAGCAGGCAGCCTTTGTGCAGTCACTTTTTTCAGCACCTGGAACAGCTCCCACCACGGCCCCAGTGCTGTGGGGTGACAGAGCCTGTGGTGGGGACTGATGGGGTCAGAGACCCAACACCTGCTGACTGTCTGATGGTCCTTGTTCATCAGAGGGTGGTGCTTCCATCCCAGGTGTGTGGGTAACCCACCTGCCCTCAGCCTCTGTGGTGTGCTGCCCGCTTGCTTCTCTTGTCTAGTACTCGAGCTTAGTTTCTTGATGCTGCTGCTTCCTCCCACTATCATGACACAGCCCTCAGGTTCTGGGATGACTGGAGACCTGGAGGATGAAGAGGACAGAGTGCTGGTCGTGATAGTCCCACCTGGTTGGCTGGCAGGAACTATGGGGAGCAGTGGCATTGGTCAAGGGTGGCATGGTAGCCCCAGAGGCTTCAGGATGAGATATTCCCATTGGGATAGGCTCCAAGTTGTCCCTGTGAGGTGTGTTTTGTTGTCCCCAGCTGGCAGGGTTGGCCGTGAAACCATGTGACTGATGGCTGTGACTGGGTGGGTGGCAGTGTGGAGGATGGAGAGGGAGCTTCATGAGTGTGTAATTCACATGGATGGAGGATGTGGAAGTGACTGGCTGTGTGAAGTTGTGTTGGTCATGCCCCAGGCATGCATGTGATGCATCTTGTTAGTTCCCTATGTGAGGAGACTAGTTTCCCTAGGCAACTGGCATGGGTTTCCACCATGCTGTGCATTCTGGTGTTGGGCTGAGATCTGTTTCCAAGGCTCTTGGCCTCCTGGTGACTGCTTGTTGATTGATCTGCTGCTCTGGAGGCTGAGAAGAGGACGTGAGCAGCACTCCAGATGCTGCTGTGGGTCTGCTGGTTGTGAAGCTGGGTGACTACATCAGGATTCAGGTCACACACATAGGAGGACTTGGGTGGCAAACGTGGAGGAGGCCTCCAATCTTACCTTCCTTACAGCAGAGTTCAGAGTTCACGTTGAACAAAAGCTGAGATGAGTGAGGAGAGGGGGCAGAGGACACCAGGGTTCAACTACATTACCAGTGCATGGACCAACTCCATGCCTAAGAGTTCTGATGCTGCCCTGAGGCTAAAAAGAGCTGCCTATGGCTTACTATACTTGGATATTTCTTTCCTCCTTTCTTTTCCTTGTTTTCCCTTTGAAACAGAGCCTTACTGTTTAACTCAGTCTAGCCTCAAACTCACTATATAGACCAGGCTGACCTTGAACTCACATGGCATCCACCACCATCTGCCTCCCAAGTGCGGGGATCATAGGTGTATACCACCACGACTGGCCTTTGCTTGCTGTTTCTTGGTGGTTGTCCCTCTCTCTTCCCTGTGGCTGGTTAATCACAAAGACTTTATGCAACTCCCAGGACTGAGCAATAAACCCACACAGTGAACAGATTTCTCCTGCTGGGGGGAGGGGAAGTGCAGGGCTCACACATGTTTTAGAAGCTATAAATAAGCTGGGCGGTGGTGGCGCATGCCTTTAGTCCCAGCACTGGGGAGGCAGAGGTAGGCAGATCTCTGTGAGTTCGAGGCTAGCCTGGTCTACAAAGCTACACAAAGAAACCCTGTCTTGAAAAACAAACAAACAAACAAACAAACAAACATAAATTATAAATACCTGGGGGGAGACTCCCAGGAATGAAATGCAGGTTGATTTGAGATAGGATCTCACTGGGTAATGGAGGCCTTGAACTCACAATTCTTCTGCCTCATCCTCCTGAGCACTGGGGTTATGAGTGCACTACCACACTCGGGTCCAGGAATCCTCTGAGTTTGTTTTCCTGTTTGTTTGGCTAATCTGGAACTGTGTCATAAGAAAAACTGAAGATAAATGTGGTCAACATCTATAAGGAGGTTTTTTGCCTCATAGTCAGAGAAATGTAAATTGAAATATTAGTTAGAAATGTAAATTGAGGCAAATATCTTTTTTAGCACCAATTTCTTGTCGTTCTGTATGCAAGGAAGTGGATATTCTATTGTCAATGGCTAAGTGTGTTTATAGAACAGTGTAGCATTCCTTGTTAAAATTTTAAAGTGCAAAGAGCCTAAATATGCTGCATGTCAAAGTCCCGGGTTAACATATTCAAGGAGTTTATCCTATAGAAACTGAACCCATACATTTTTATATATTGTATATATATAGGAATCTATGGCAGACAGTTTAAATACTACAGGCAGGCACTCGGTCACCTGTGGCCAGATGTGACTCTGAGCCCCTGCAGGCTGGGATGGTGCAGAATGAATCTAGTTATGTTGGAGGCCCAGGGCAAGTACTCATGTGTCTGAAAATGGGGCACAGTGCAGCTGGGCGTGCAGAGGTGAGGGCAGAGAGTGTACTTCATGCAGTGGTTGACCTTGTGTCTTGTGATACGGAACCCACAGCGTGGACCAGCGGGCGAGTATGTGGCTGAGTCACTGGTGGGTGGAAGTAAAGCGGTGGTGGTCTGGCCAGGGCGCCACAAACACCCACTAGAACTCTGATTGTGTCCAAGGCTGTTTTCAGGTTGAGACCCCACACTCCTCTATCTTCTCCTCCTAGCTGGTGGCGGCCATCGTGTTCATCAGTTTTGGTGTCGTGGCGGCATTCTGCTGTGCCATAGTCGATGGCGTGTTCGCAGCACGGCATATCGTGAGTACTACTTTGACTGGTGCACAGTCTATCTCTGGGGCTCAGTGCTCACAGGCAAAGCAAAATTTCAGTTCCATAGCCTGACTCCCACATCTTCACACCAGCTTCAGCTGAGCTGCCACGGCTGTCCTTCCTTTTCTTGCCAAGTCTGGCTCCAGCAACTCGAATCCTCTGCCTCCCACAGGTCACACACAGGACACAGCAAGCACAAACACATACCACACACAGCCAATACAAATATCCACCGCACAGCAGGCACAAACACACATGCCACACACAGCAGACATAAACACTACCACACACGGAAGGCACAAACACATACCGTATACAGCAGACACAAATACACACAACCATATACAGGAAGCATAAACAACCACACCCAGTAGGCGTGTGTGTGCAGATACAAACACACAACAGATACAAACATACACATCACACATCAGACACAAACATCCCTCAGTACTTCAGTTACCCTCTGCCCCCACCCATCCTCCCCAACCACTAGGGAACTCTTGTCCCCACCCCCTCAGTTCTGGAGCTCTGTGTCCAGGCGACTGTCCACAGCGCACTCACCGCACTTAAAGCCAAGTGCACTGTGAAATCTCGGACTTTGCTCTTGCATGTGCTTACAGTTCCATGTTCTCTCTTCAAAGATTGTTGCTAATGTGGGACTACACAGATGAAAAATCTTCTTGTCTATAAGAAACGGACTTTAAGAGGATGTAGAGTCCCATGAGTGGCATAGCTCTGGACCATGGAAGGGAACACTGCCTGCATCTGTTTGACCTGTAGCTAATCTGAACTTTGCCCCCACAGGGAACAGGTGGGCTTATCCACCTGTTTAGTAGCTATGGGGTCAGGCAGATTCCCAGGTGTCATAGGCAAATGATGAGCTGCCAGGCTTCCTGCCAAATGCAGCAGATCAAATTAAGGAATAAGTACATGGAGTTTGTCATGTGACATGCTGTGCTGTGATGTGTGCTGTAGTGTGAATAATATGGCACAATATAAAAGGCACAGTAGAACATGGTGTGGGCAGCATGATGTGGTCTAGACTATGGTGTGAGAGAATAAATAGACCGTGATGTAGGAGGAGGTGACAGAGCATGATGTCATGTGATATAAACATGCTGTGATGTGGAGTGGCAACGTGGTAGGCTGTGATCTGAATGATATGTACTATGGCACAATGTGGTGTGGTACAATGTGCTGCGATACAGGAGATGATGAGTAGCATCATATGGTGTGATATGAGATGTGAGTGACATGATGATGATGAGGAGGATGATGAGGATGACGGCTTGATATGTACCAAGCAGGTAGGAATTCTGTGCATGTGCATTTGCATGTATGTACACTTCTGTATGCATGTATGTATGAACAGGTGTGTGTAGCTCCCCCAGTACCTGCAGCTTGGTGTTCAGGCATCTGGCCATTTGCCTTCCCTGGACAGGCATATAGACTACAGTGCTCCCAAAAGAATGTGCCAGTCTTGCCTTGAGATTCTGTCCCTGTGTAGGGTAAGGTTTTCTCAGTCCCATGCCCTCTCAGCTCTACAGTGCCTGTCTGGAAGAAGTCACCTTCCAAAGACTTCTGTCTCCAGGTAAGTAAACTCTCCTGCCTGCAGCCATAGGTGTGAAAGGACTCTGCTCACCCTTCCTGGCTTCACTGATGAGAAGAGTCTAGAAGGTAGTCTGTCTGTCTGCATATCTGTCTGTGTACCTGCCTGATGCACCCACCTGAGTAAGCCCATCTGTTTGTGCCTGTCCCCGTGTGCCTGCCTTTGTGTGCAGATAGGACAGGACCTCTGAGGAGTGACCAGTGTGGTTGAGAGTCCAGCAGAGGGTCCACATGAGTAGCCCCGGCTGGGCCCTGATACACAGTATCATCTAGTCACCCTAAAGCCTAGACCCCTGGTGTCCTGTGGTCGGTTACAGCTCTGTGGGGGTGGGTGGTGGCCAGACTGTTGGTGACTCACTGGGGTCCGCTTCTGAGGCCGCTGGTGTCACATGCGAATACACACTGAGCTGCCACCACATGGGAAGACGGTGTGAAGACTCCACCCCACTTCACACCATCGCCTATCTCCCCCCACCACCCCCCGCAAAGTCCACTGGGGAAGGGATCTGAGTCTTGCCATATTGTGATGAAGGCCGTGTCCTCCTGAGAGCCCTGGAGCCAGCTCTCCAGTCCCAACCCCAGCCACCTGTCTTCACTGCCTCCCCTGTACCTGTCACGTCTGCTCCCCTCATGCATCACCCGGGGCCAATAGGGCTGCCTCCCATCTGAATCCGTCCACGCCCAGCCTGGCACACAGCTGCTATGCCCCACCGTAGCTGCTGCCTACGACTCGTGAATGACTCTTCGTCTGCCGCCAGAACTACGTGTGGTTTCTAGACCCCGCTTAGGTCAGGAGTAGGTGCTTTCAGACATGGCATTGATACATAGTCATGAACTCGAAGAAGCGTTTACAGATTACATGGCCCTATGGCACTTTAAGTCCCAGGCCCCAGCTGTCTTCTGCCCTAGCAGTTGTAGAAATTGCCTACTTGTTGCTCCACCCTGCTTCACTCACCTACAGCTCTAGCTCACCTTGGCTTCCTCGTGGTTCAATGCTATGTTGGATCCACAAATGTCGGAGATACAGGAGTGGGGACGTGGTGAGCTCGAAATGGATGAGCTTGTGTCCAGTGGTGGGGCATGACATATGGAAGGAAGGATGGATGGATGATTAACGTCTAAGTGAATAGATGGGTGGTTTGGATGGACGAGTGAATCAGCCCCAAATCTTTTATTCCCTTCCTAGTAGAAGAAACTCATTTTTCTTTTAGGAAGAGAGAAGCCGAGTGTCCCTGGTGAGATGTAGACCACCCCTTGGCCTGCTCAGCAGCATTCCCCTTGTCTCTGTGCTGATGTGTGTGCCCAGCAGGTAGATGGAGGGTGTCTGTAATTCTCTCCTCTACAGCCTTCTGGACGACGCACACAATTGCCATGCAGGCAATAATGTGTGTGGCCTTGGTCCTGCTCCAGTCCATGGAAGGCAAGCCTGAAATGGCCACTCCTGGTTGGGGATGACCAGTCCATCCCATCTACATTTATTTCTCTAGGAACCAAGACCTCTCAGCGCAGGAAGGTGCCAGTTTTACTCCAGTGGGACCGGGTACTTGTATGATGTCTATCAGACAGAGGTGAGCCCCTTTGGCCCACGTGGTTTCCATATCCCCCAAGTCTTCTGGGTCTGGTTAAAATGGCTGTCTAAATTCTCACCGATCTTCCTGCTGTGTGGGTCTCAAGGCACTGAAAGCTAGGAGCTATCCGTGACAGTTCAATGCACGGTGGCACTCTCTTTGGAATCACAGCTGCACCCTTTCCTCTTCGACACAGTGTTAGGATTCATCTGTCCAGTTCTGTGGGGTCAATTAGCATTCCAATTAGCATTTTCACTGACTTAATCACTGCCGTGAAACACTGGGATCACACATGTGCAGTGTTCAAGGGATTCTCTGGCTCTCCCTGGCTGGGGACAGCTGTAGTGTGACCTCACTCTTAAGCTGAGTGAGATGCCAGGAAGAACAAGCGCGCACAGCAGCTAACCTGTAAGACCAGCCCAGGTGGGCACTGGCATGTGGCTCAGTTGGGCTGTCTACACCAGTGCTGTGGGGATTTCAGACCTGCAGAAGGTTGAAAATGTGTGCACTGGAAATTCCAGAAAAAAGATGTCAATGGTAGATGGTTGGGGGATGTGGGCAGGGATTCTGACAGCCTTACCTCACCTAGTCCTGATCTACCTAGTGCTGTCCTGTCCAGCCTCATCTTGTCCTGCTCTGCCCAGTCCTGCCCTATCTAATCCTGTCCTGTGTCCTGCCCTGCCCAATCCTACCTGCCATGAATCAGGGAGGGTCCTGGTAATGCAGCCCTGCTTTTAGACCTAGGCTGCCTGCTGTCTATGTAGGATCAAGTATGAACCTGCCTGTCTCTACCCCAGGTCACCTGCTACTCTCTGAGTGGAAGGTGCCAGCTGAAAGTGAGGAGCAACACGTGTTACTGCTGTGACCTGTATGCTTGTGGGAGGTAAGGCTACATCAGGAGTCTGTGCACACACATGTAAACATATTCAGCATGTAAACACACACACACATATACACTCACACACACAGAAGCGAAACCTTGCACAGACATCTGTCCATGAGAGAGGCCCTCATTTTTCCCTTCCTATATCTATTTGGTTTTCTGTTTCTTCCTCTGGATCTAGTTTCAGCAGTGAAAAGATGGATTCTCAGAGTGATCGGGTCTCCACCCAAGAGCACACACAGAGTGTGGAAGTACTTAAACGTGGCCTGGACCCTGTTTGTCGCATACCTTGAGGCAGCTGGCCACCAGTTAGCCACCAACACATCTCAGTTCTGCTCTGCTCCCTGTCGGGGCTGAGATCCACCTGCAGCTTTCTGTTACGATATACATGGGAAATGAGAACACAAAATGCTTGCTTATTCTGGCATGGAAGGCAGCTCAGCCACCATGCTTGCTCTGGTCATTAAGGGCCCAGGGCGTAGTAAGTTGGGACATCCTGTCTCCACTTTCCACCCCACTGTGAGCCTGGTGGAGCCTCCCTGGCTAGCCCCACCAAATGAATCCCCAGAGAAGTTTTCACCTGGGTGGGAGGAGATAAGAAGTCAGCAATAGAGGAGCCAGAGGCCCCAGGCCCCAGGAGCCCCAGGGTTGGTGGTGTAGCTGCTTCTCAGGGTCTGTCTATGGGGCCCCAGGCCTTAGTCACACCTCACGCAAATATCCTTCCCACTGAGACCATCCCCCAGGTCTCTGGAGGGACCTCGGTGCTTTATGCCAGGCCTGATTACCATCTGCTGCTCTTCAGTGGTGGCCAGGACCACTCTAGTGTGAATCTTGTAGGGTGTCCATGTCTGAGTGATGCTTGGTGATTAGAAAGAAGTGTCACTATTTAAATGGTCCCCTTTAACTGGCTTTCTAGTAAAGCCCCGCTCTATTCTCTCTCTTCAGGAGTCAGAGAGGCCCCAAGTCTCCTGGGTTTCTCTGGTTTGGAAGTTGAGAGCTTCCAGGGCTCCTTGACTAACTACCCACCAGCCCGTACTGCCCCAGGGGTAGTGTTCTTGACTGTGGCTCTACGCTGTGAGGGCTCATTGGCTAGACGCAGCTTTAACTCACAGAGTGCTCCCCTGATCGTGGCATGATGCCCCGGGCTGTTGTTTGACAACAGATCCTAGGCATAGGTCGGTCTACGGGCCGTGGATCGCCATGGCACTCAATGGTGGTCATCTAACCACAGATCTAATACTTAGGGGTCACCTGGCCACCTTCTATCAACGAGGGCAGTAACCTTGTTCTCCCTCTCGTAGCACAGAGTCCTCGCCTGCCTACTATGAATTTGTGGGTGTGCGGAGCTGCCAGGATGTGATCCACCTGTACCGGCTGCTCTGGGTGTCCACAGTGCTGAATGTCCTGGGCCTGTGCCTGGGCATTATCACAGCGGCAGTCCTAGGAGCCTTCAAGGACATGGTGAGTAGTACCAGCCTACGTGTTTCCAGCCAGGCGGTCATAGCCCAGAGCTCAGTGGCTCCCTTGACAAAAGACCTAAACTCCCGAGTGGTCTGCACATCAGATGGTTAACTGGGATTACCAATCACTTGCCCTGGAAGCAGTACTTGATCACCTGCTGGTTGAACCCTCTCCCATCCTCTTAGGTGAGCAGAACTCGTCGCCATCTAAGAATGGAACTCACCTGCAAAGCTACCCTGTCACTGTGAGGTCCATGATTGCCTGGGTTGGTCATGGTTCTGGGCAGGGCTTGGACCCCATTTGAACAAGCTGGATGAGCGAACTGAAATTCACCCACACCTCACTGAGCCAGCCCTACTGAACCTGCCCTTGAGATCTGGCTTGCTACCCTTTCATCACTGGGTAGAATTGTCCTTGTGTCCTTTCGGGGTCCATGACAAACCCTTTAGGGGTTCTTCCAGATCCACAGGGCTACAGAACACATTCTGGGTGATTCTTCTTGTGCTCAGCCAGTTGTCCTGGGGCTTTGGCCTTTGGTTGCAGCCGAGAGTTGCTGCCTAGCTCTTGGTCCTGAGGTTTCTTGTTGCCAGGGAGATTTAGGGATGTCTCCTCAGGACCTGAATTCCCACAGTCTAGTTCTCGGGCTCTACCAGGCTGCCTCTTCCAGCGGCAGCTCCAGGCGGTGACTCCAACCCAGAGACCATGTGTAAAGGATGTGGAACTTTCTGTGAGGTCATGAAGAGAGGGTTGCCCTACTCTTCGTGGCTTGGCTTAGGGCTCCCCAGAGGACCACGCTGTAGTACCGCCTTGAATGGGTTTGAGGGTGCCTCGGGTTGGATAGTCACCTCCTTTTTCTCCACAGGTCCCTCTGTCTCAGCTGGCCTATGGCCCATCTCCACCTCCTCAGATCCTCTACAACCCTGCCCAGCAGATCCTAGCCTACACTGGCTTGTGCCCTCCATCTATGACTGTGCCAACCTGTTCCTCCTACCCTCTGCCACTTCAGGTAGGCAAGTGTTGCCTGCTGGGGTCGGGCATGCTGCGGAGTCAGTGGTTGTTTCTGTGGGCTCCTTAGTAGACTGGGTATGGCTGTGCATAGAGAAGGGTGTGCTCTGATCTAGATGATGGGGACTGGGATCATTATGGGGTGGGCCATATCATTTTCGTGGTGCATTGCTGCTCACGGCCCTAGTAAACCATGAGAGTGTTCTTCCTACTAGAAGAACCATTTATTTTATATACTGTTTTTAGCTGCTTTATACACTGTCTATCTTAGCATGAACTGGCCTGATACTGGCCGGGGGAACTGAGGACGCCACTGGCTGCCTGGCTTCCGAATTCTTATAATGACACTGAGTGTTCTAAGTGGAACCAGGTGCATGCCAACATCCACTGAAATTTATCTACAAAGCTACCAACCCTGTAAGGCTCATGTGCCCTGCGCTGTGGATGCCGAGGTCATCAGAGGAGGAGGTCTGGAATACGATTTTGTTTGAACAGGGCTTTGCCTCTATTCCACGCTTGGCTTTGACATGTTCATGTCCTCTGAAGCTCTGGTGGCCATGAATGAAAGGGTCCTGGCTGTCCAATGGTATTGACTTGGACTTTGCACTGTGGACTTGTGATCCTCCTGCCTTGCTTCTTAGCACTGTGAGGTGCCAGGCAGGCCCTGTCCTCTACCTACCTATGCAGAAACCCCCAGCCATGGCAACCAAACCATGTAGACATTGCTCAGTGTCTCCTGCGGGGAGATTGAGAACAGGCCTAGACAAACCTTTCTAGATGGGGTGATGCCTGCTCATGCAGGTGGCTTGTTTTACGGCGCTAACAGAAGCAGTTGTGAGACTCCCAGAGCTGTGTTGAGTGTATCTCTGTGTCATCACACTCCGCTAAAATGAGCTGCTTTGACCTGGGGGGCCTGGTGAATGGAGTGAAGTCATTTGTTTTGAAGTCACATGTCCTCAGGTATTCCCCAGGGGACCTGCACCTAGTGAGCCACACAAAAGTCAAGTGAGGCCTTGCCAAGCCAAAGGACTGTTTGGGGGGCGGGGCTTGAGTGTTGAGCTCTGACCATCTTTGATAGAGGAAGCTGTCAGGGCCCCAGGACTGACCTTTGCATAGTGACCAGGTGTGAGCAATACTTGGGAGTCTTTTGATCATCTGGGCTCTGCATTTGTGAAGTGTGGGGGCTGGTAGCAGGTACAGCTGGAAGAAGGCATGGGCACCCCAGGAAGCACAGCTTCCTTCTGTTTTCCGGGGCTCACTGGTGCCCTGGACTCAGAAAGGTGAGGTCACTGTACCGCTGCTCTGGGTTACCCACTCCAAGGTCCCTTTTCTCTGTACTTCATCTTCCTCTGCTTCTCTGCAAAAGTTGCTGGCTGGGGCTGTAATCGCTGGATTTCTTGGGTTCTCTGGGGTCTGGAGGAAGGATGCTGCCGTGGTCCATTGAAGTATTGGGGAGTGGGTCTGGACTCTCAGTGTGGCACCCCCAGGCTGTGCTAGTGGGACTTCCCAAAGGGAACTGGGTTCTCATCCACGAGAATCACAGAGACCTCAAATCAAGGAATGTGAGACCCCGTGGGTAAAGCCTGCCTTGGGACCATCTCCGCTCTCTGGAACATTGGAAGCAGCTATGTCTAGGGTCAGGAAGTAAGATGATACAAGGGTACCAGCAAGAGCAGCTGCAGCCTCTGGCTTTCCATGGAACTTCCTGCGTTGGCCTCAAGAAGGATCTCCCTGGTCTCCACACAAGGAAGGACGCGAACATCTCAGGCCACAGCTCATCCTGGGACCCGCTCGGCTCTCCTGGTCTTTTGTCAGATCCACATGTGAGACACTTAGGACTGTCTCTGGATAGCTGGCCTGGCTGCCTTTGGACACACACAGCCCCCGAAATCACGTAGATGCCAAGAACGACTCCAGAGTACACCCAGTGCAGGCTGTCTTCTTTCAGAACACGTGATGCTCCACAGGGGATGATGATGATGATGATGATGATGATGATGATGATGATGATGTGGGGCTCCATTTTCTCCTGCCTGATGTCTGGAGTGTTCGGGCCAGCCCTGGAGCCTGCCTACCCCTCTGTCTTGAAGGCCTGGCCTGAGGAAGAAGGGACTGCTGTGGAAGGCCTACCAGCCTGCTCTCGAAGAGTGTGAGGCTCCCCATGAAGTGCTCATCCCTGTTCCACATGTGTCCAAAGGACAAATGCCCCTTGTGGTGGTGTACAAGGGGGCGGTCTTTCACCATGGGACACATTTTGGGAACCTGGAAGACGACCTGCCAAGTCCCATGGGTGTGCTTTTCTTCTCCTACCTTCGGGGCCCTCTGTTGCAGAGAGTGGATGGATGCCTCCCTTCCTCCCAGAGGAGGCCTGGGGGCCCTGTGCTCGGGGCTGGGCAGCTTTCACAGCAGCGTGTGTGGGAGCATAATTGCCACATATGCTTAGTAATCCGATTTCTGTGGAACAGGCATATCGGATGAGCCCGTGTGTTTCCTAAGAACAACAGAATGGATGCCGTCTCCCCTGGCCAACCGACGGAAGGAGATACTTTAAGTGTCCTGTTGAAGTCATTAGCAGCCAGCAAACATCCCCGAATAATAGGAGGGACTGAGATGGCTGTGTGGGGGTGTAAACCTTTAAAGGGGCCTCTTCCAACACCCAGCAGTTTGCCCAGTGCGACACTTGAGTCCAGCCTGAATGGTATTGCTGGGGTGGTCCTCTCCATGTGGGCAGGGCCTGCCTTCACGAGGCCTTGGTTAGGGAGGCAGTTTCATCCAAGTTTCCTAGTGGTTGACTCTGTGGCTCCTGGTGGCTTGATCTACGATTCTTGGTGGTTTATCCTGAGGTTCCTGGTGGTTTATCCTGTGGTTCCTGGGGGCTTGCTCTGTGATTCTTGGTGGTTTATCCTGAGGTTCTTGGTGGTTTATCCTGTGGTTCCTGGGGGCTTGCTCTGTGATTCTTGGTGGTTTATCCTGAGGTTCCTGGTGGTTTATCCTATGGTTTCTGGTGGTTTGTTTATCCTGTGGTTCCTAGGAGCTTGCTCTCTGGATCCTAAGGGCTTGCTTCATGGCTTATGTATCTGCTTTTTTTTTTCTTTTTCAGAAAAGAGCAGAATGGATAGGGTGAGAAGCCCATTCTAGTAGACCTAAAAGGATGATCTTTAGACATGCACTGGCCCCTGTGGTCAGAAGGATGCACACACAGATTGGAGGGAGAAACAGGAAAAAGTTCCTGAGCTAGCAGTTGAATCACACAGGAGTCACTTTTAAAAACTCACTTCAAAATTTGCTTTATATATATTTTTAAATACCGATTTTAAGTTTCAAACTTCTAGTACTTAAGAGGGGGAAAAGAAAAATAAAAAGACTTAGAAAAGATTTACTTCAGATCTGTGCTGTTCCCCAAATTTCTCCTCTCACATTAACTCATCCTTGATTTTCGGGGTGTCTGTTGAGGTTCCTCAGAGACACAATACCAAAAGGTGTATATACATGAGAGAGACTTGTTTAGTGACTGGCTTTCATGAGTGTAGTCAAGGCTGGTCCACTATCCCCAGGACCAGGGAAATACTGTTGGAACTGTAACCCATGGTCACACTTGGGCAGGATTCCATTCTCCTTGAAGGTCACTGCCTTTTTTTTTTTGGTTAAGGTCTGCAAGTGATTGGACCAGACTCTCCAACAGTAGGGAGCTATTTAAATGTTAACTGCCTCTGAAAAATGCCTTCCTTAGACTTCTAGACTATGGCTGACCACATTTGGTCACTGACCTATTAACCACCATGCTGTGTTGGGAATGTTAATGATCTTGCTCTCTTCAGTGAGTGCCAAGGATCTGGCTCTAGGCTGTCCCCGGCTCTTCTAGTCAGTGCTGGTGAAAGTTGACAGGGCTGAGCAGGCCAGGAAGTCTGGAGCTTGGGAGAGCTTCCCCGGGGGTCCCGGGCAGCTTTAGAAGTCGTTTGTGTCGCTCAGGCACAGACAGGCTGACGCTTGACCTCTCTTAGCTGTTCCTAGGCCTGGGAGGCTTCCTGGGGGTCCTGGTCTGGTAGGGTGCTGGGCCGAGGCGAGACTGGCATATATTCTGGATGGTGTAGCCAAGTCCCCCACCTGCTGATCAAGGACGCCTCTCTGTTTAATTGCAGCCCTCCAGTGCCCTGCCGGCCTCGTCCTCTGCTGACCTCTCTCGGCCTGAGGACACAGAGTCTCCCTCCCAGTGCAGCTCCAGCCATGGGCATTCTCCTAATGCTCCTTCACTCTGCACACCAACCTACTTCCTCCCGGGGGAGAAGCCTCCCCCCTATGCGCCCTGACACGGAGGCAGTAGATTAAAAAGAGCTTGGTTTGGGGGTTGCCAGAAATAAAACAAAAATTATAAAGCCATCCGTCAGAAGCCTGCTTCCGCAGCCAGCCTCGTAGAGGATTCAGAAAGTATCTCGAAGCTGTGCACTTCTCTTGGACACACCCTCCGCCAGCACAGGCCAGGACCAGAGGTGGAAGCAGAGCCGGCCGGGTGGCCCAATGGCACCTCTGCTGTACCCCTCCCCCACATGAAGACAGCAGCAAACCATACTAGACCCTAGTCCCATCATCCAGAAGGGCTTCTCTGCACCTGCCGTCACTCACAGCTGCGCCATCCTTAGTCTCCTTGGTTATCAGTTGCTATTACCCTGCAAAGGAAAGGGAGCCAGGCATCTCTTTGGGTGAAGATTGTTCCTTCAGGAAATGCGTTACAGGTTGACTACTTCTGTGAGCACGTCCCCGAGAAGGAACAGACAAAACCACTTCTGTGAGCATGTCCCCAAGAAGGAGCAGACCAAACCCCTGAGCTCTACTTTTCTGATTTGAAGGAAAACAAGCTTGGAGTAGATACCTAAAGCTACTTCTAGAGGCCTTTGAGTTCTGCCTCTGCGTAAGATCCACCTTTTGGTGGACTCCAAATCTCACCCTCATTTTTCCCTGTGGTGCTCTGCTGACTTGTGGCCACTGGTTTATTCATTAATTAGCTGTTGCGTGGACACTGGGGCCTTTCTTCCCCCTCTTGATGAGGTCCAGAACTAGCAGGTGGGGATGGAGGACCAGTCTGTGAAGATGCAGTTCCTGCGCCCCCTGCTGGTCAAGGCCACTCTGTCCAGCAGCTCTCACCAGGGCAGGCTAGAGAGGTTTTCTAAACAGGGTTTCCCACAAAGGCCCACAACACAGGTCCATGTAGGAAGGTGACGGGTCTGTCTGTGGAGAAGATGTACTGCAGCTGCTCACCGATCCCTGAAGGGCTGAGACAGCTACCGGTTGCTGAGGACTGGTCACTGTGCACTCTTCATTTTATTGAGAAAGTATCTTGGTTTCTATTTGATGCTGACGGACCTTGGATCTAGCACAGTCTTGCTTCCCTACAACATCCAGGAGCTTGGCCTTAGCCTCTCTATAACCCTGGACCAATATCAAACAATATTCTGCTGACTTATATTTACACCAATGTATATACTAGGCTATTTAACACCTCTTAGGACTCCAGTTTCAGAGGCAATTGTGAACAGCTCCTTAGAATTGAACCTGGAGGCAACAGGACAAAATCCTCTCTATATTTGGAGGGGGCCTTGGGCACTGCTCCTTGATGGGGTCAGGGGCGAGTTGGCTCTGGTCCCTGCCTTACATCTACCCAGCATGCACAGTCAAGCAGCTCTACCAAGGGGCTTGGACATGCCACCGTGCTGGCTGTGGAAGAAGTATCCTACACAGCGACGGCAAGACTCCTGTCACTTGTGGGGGTGAGGTTCAGGATGACTAGAATGACCAGAGGCACAGAGATGCAAGGAGCCGCATAGTAGGCTGCTGTTTTACAGGACTGCGCCAAAGAACACGTCATCCATGTAATGACCGCACAGAGAAGAGCCAAGGCCTGGAGGCTGATGGGAGGAGGGTTTCCAAGGCACTGGAGCCTCCTTGGTGCAGGGCCCCCACACTTCCCTATTTACTTTGATATTACAGTACCCCAGTTTTGTATTCAGTAGTCCTGGGCCCAATGGGCTCGACTTCTGAACTTCCTGAAGCTGGCCCCCAGGTCTCTGAAGAACAACAGAACTGCATGTCTGGGTATAGAGCCTATGCCCACTGGAGGCAAGAACTATTGAGAAACGTTGCATGCCAAGGTCAATAGTTTTGTTCATTGCCACAAAAATGTCTTCCTCCCTTGTCTTGGAGAATGGTAAGGTTCTGTACCCTAGTCTCCAGAACTGCCCTCATAAGCCACACTAACCTGCAGTGTGGACCAGGCTGGGAAGCCAGCTGGAGCCTGCATGCTCAGTGGCTTCTGGCCCAGCCAGCCCTTGATGGCTTTGTCTCTCTGAATGCCACCTGAGGGTCTGCTCTGTGTTTGGTTTCTGCTCTGGTTAGCGAGATTTGCTTACGGCCACCCGTTTTGTCATTGAATCTATCTCTTGCATCTGCTTTTGGATCGATGGGAGATGGGGTTGTCCTGAGTCTGCAGTATGGTACCAGCTGACGACTCGCATGAGTGTGTATGGTCATGTATGTGGTGGGCCATGCCCCACTGGTGAGAGACACTGGGCTAAGCTCTTCTGCTTCATCAGATGAGCCTGCCTGAGTCAGGGTTCCACTTGCACCCTCTCCTCTGTGGCTCACAGAACCCTTAGAGCTCTGCTTCTCAAGACCTAGTATCAATAGCCTGGTAAAGGATGGCATGGATCCACAGACACGCCTCTGTGTGCACATCCTTGTTGATCAGCAGAGGATGCTCTGTCGGGCCTGCCTGGGTCTCCTCCTTGCTTCTCTCTCAGGTGGTCACTCTGTCAGATTTGTAGGAAGTCATTGTCTGTTCTGGACAGGGACCCTGCGATCCTGGGTGTCGCCCCTGCCTTCAGTTAGAGCACATAGCATTCCTTTATGTTTAAATGCATCATCAATCTGCGGGCTTTGTGATAAGAAATACAGTGAAGTGGTCTCCTGCCCTGAAACAGTGGTTTCTAAAAGGTGACTTTGCCCCAGGTACATCTGGAAAAATCTGGAGCCACATTTCTTTACCAGAGTATGTGTCTGCAAGAGCAGTGTGATAGAACCTGAGGAGGGCGGGGTGCTGACAATCCTGAATTCGTGGGAAGGACCCAGGCTCAAGAAACAGCCTCAAGGATACAATAGCAATGCAAAAATGGTGAAAGTCCTTCCCTAGAAAGGGAATTTTGCAATCAACTCAGATGATAAAGACCACACAATCCATCCCACCCTCTTCCTCCGAACAGTCCGCACCATCCCTCAAAAGTCTCCTGGTGCTCCCCTTGGTGCTCTGTAGTTTGGCCACCTGGGCCCAGGGGAGCAAGGAGCCCAGGGTAGGCAGCTGGCAGATGCATTATTGTTTAGTTTGGCAGGAGATGGTATAAGGCTTGGTGCCAGCCAAGGCTGAGGATGCAACCTCAGGGAAGAGAGGTGTCTGTGTTCTTCCCACACAGTGCTGTTGCCTCCCCAAGGCAGATAAGGAATGCCAAATATGTGGCTCCCCCCCCTCTCGTCTGTGTGGTTGAACTCCAAACCAGCATTTGTCCCACTCTGTTCTTGGCCTCATGACCTTCTGGGGAGAAGTGGGGCTGGTTGGAGGGCACTCATGAGAACATTCCATGAAAACATTCCAGAGTTGCCTCCAACACAAGGAAAAACCACTGAAGGTCTAGGAATGCTGCCTCACCAGTGAAAGACATATCTGGCCTCTGGGAGGCTGTGGGCTCCTGAGGCTGCCTGAGGACAGAGGCGGCGAGGAATCCTGGGCAGGACTGTACTCCATACCTTGTCGGAGCTGTGTTCGACAGTGTTGTTCCTGTCCTGTCTTCCCCAGAGTTTCCAGGATGCTGGGGTTAAAATCAGTGGCTCCCCACTTCTTCCCTTATTAACAAAGGGCAGCCTGGAGACACTGAGCAAGCTGCTGTTTCTTGTGCCTCCTGCTGCCCAGGGAGGGTGTAGCTCCCTCAGCTCTGCTCGTAGCTTTGAAACAGAAAACCAGAACTTTTCTTTTAAATGGAACAGAGGCAGCCAAGAGAGGCAAATGGCCAGTAGAGGAAGAGATGAGAGAGTATGTACAGGTACCAACACTACATACTAGGTGCCAGCGGAGTTTTAAGAAGGGTTCTATATGTGGGGCTGATGGCAGAGCCATGTAGGACTGTCTGCATTTGCAGAAGAAACTGAGGCTCTGTGGCTTGCTGGCAAACCCTGGCTCCAGCCCTTGCCATCATTCTTATGAAGAGAGACTCCTGGGGTAGGCCACAGCTGCCTGGCCTGGGACAGGGGTCCTAGAAAAGGCCCATGCAGCTGTGAGCCTGTGTCATGATGCACTCAAAGCCCTTTTACCCTGAAGGCTGCTCGGTTCTGAGACACCTCCAGGACAGAGAGACAGAGACCAACCCAGGGTTAAAAAGGTTTCTGTAAATATTTTATTTTCCATATTTCAGAATCAGAAAGAAGCATGTGGTAATAAAAATAACAGAATTATTTTCTTCAAATCCACTCAGCTGCAACTTGCTGGCCCTCCAGCCCAACCCTCGCCAGCCAGCTCCCACCAGGCCACGGGGCTCTCTGAGCAGCCGCTGACCTGAAACCAGTCCCATTATGTACAGATATGTTACAAGGCAAAGAAATCTCTCAAGAAAACCCAGCCACGAGGGCAGGAGCCCACCCACTCCAGTGGTGGGGGACTTGCTCAAGAGGAGCCAGTGCTGGGTGTCTATTCCTCTGCTCCCCTTTGGCTGTAGGAAGGTGCAAAGGCCTCTTGTGCATGGGTACTAGAGCAGCTTGATCTAGAGTGTGGCATGTTCCACAGGCGGGCAGGAGTGTGAGGTGATGTCACTGTGCTTGTAGGAGGCCTCATCCAGGTCCAGGGTCTTCTGGTTTACCTCCAGGGTCATGCATCCACGGTAGAATGCCGTGACAGGTGCAGAAGTGACTGGAACCTCTGAGCAGCAGGAGACCACACTTTGAGCAGAGCTACACCCAGGGAGTACCACCTACCGCCCTCTATGATGCACATAGCCAGCCCTGCCTGCATTCTCTCTGCAGGGCACCATCCCATGGGGATACAGATCTGTACAGGCATAATACATCTTTACACCTCAACCTCCCAGGCATGCGTATGATCTCTCTGCCTCATGAGTTCCCATGCTTCAGGGACTATGGGCCCTTATCTCCTTTGAAGCCTTATTGGTTTAAAAAAAAAAAGTCTGTTTGCTAAAAGTAAAGACCTGTCCTGGCAAAAGGACTTGGGCCTCTCTATAGCTCCTTCCCGTGTTCCACCCCTGGGCCTGTGTGAGTTGTCTACCCCTGGCAGTCACAGTCAGGTACCTGACTCTTGTATCACCTGCTAATCCTCCTGGGCTCCCAGACAACACTTCCCAATGGGTGGCCCAGAGAAAGCACTGTACTACTAAGAGGCACCCCCCCCCTCGCCATCCCAGCATAGAAGCCAGTCTGCATTTATATTCCCCATAACCAGAACCCTGTCTCCGTCATTATCACTGCCCATGTGTGAAGCCATACTGGTTCAGGTGATGCCCGCTATGGGCATTAGGCCAGAGTAGTGCTCCTACCTGGCAGGCCTCCAACAAAGGTGAGCACAGTGCCTTGCAGATGTTCCCCTAGTGTGTCCAGTCTCTCCTGCAGCTGGGCGGCACTCACTTCACTCTGGCCCTTGGTACCGTCCACTTCCAGGGTGGCCTCGCCGTCCCGAAGGGAGACGGTGACTACGTGTTCCTGGCTGTCGCACACTTTGATTTCCATCAGTGCCAGGGCAACGTCCTCCACTGCCAGGACCACCAGCTGCAGGGACACCAGTACAGTGCTCAGGGGATAAGGAAGCAAAGGAGCTACGTGGGGTCAGTGCACCCCCGTTCTGTCCTCCTAGGCTCTGGTCCTCATAGGCTGGCCACCTCAACACTAGCCCCTTGGGGTGTATGGTATCCCTGCAACCCTGGGTATGAGGGTGTCTAGGAACCCTGGTACTTTCCTATCCGGGGGTTCGGTTTCTTTGCAATGTAAAGCAGGGAGCAGCTGAGAGGTTTTAAGAGGGGGATGCTGCGGTCGCAGGGGTCCAGGGCGGCGCTGGGGGGCCTCCCCCCTCGCTGCTCCCGCTCTCCCTGGCCGTCCACGTCTCCCGCGCGGGCGGAGGGTCGGGGCTGCGCCGGTCTTCCCCCGCCGGGTCCGCCCCCCGGGCC